TCTTTTAAAATCCTACGAAATCCTAAACCAATATACCCCTCTTAGTTTTTGAATCCTATCTATGAAATATGTGGATTTAGTGAACTTAATTTGTGGGTTCTTTGCTTAGTCCACATATTTCATTAATTATTTTTTTTAATATTAAACTTTAATATTTAATTATGTATTTAATTTTTTAAATTGTTATGACATTAAAATTATGTTTAGTTGATATGTATTTGTTATTTGAATTATTTTTAAAATATTTTTATGTTTTTATTATCGAAAATTTGATATTATTATATAAATATTAGTAATATTTTTTATTTTAATATTTTGTATTTAAGATTATTTTTAAAATTAATAAATTTTAGTGTGATAAAATTTAACTTATAAATAAAAAAGTTTTTTTCTTCTAATTTTATGCATTTTTATTTCTTAAAAATATTGCTTTTTAATTATTATTTAGATCCACCGATCATTTCGTTTATCCACGAATTTGACTAATCGGATACGGATTTGAATAAATCTATTTATTTTACCAATCAAACTTATTCAACCCATATAAAATGCAAATTTTACATATTGGAGCTTAAAGAGGCCCGTTCTTATACCCACTCCTCATATAACGATTTGTAGTGCTATCATTCCGAGGAGAACGGTTTACACTTTTCTAATTCAGGAGACAATGAAAACGATATGGACAATAATACACCCAAATGATATAAGAGTCTTGAAAAAGTCAAGAACCATATTGCTTTCACCTCTGTCAATTGCTTTGATTATGAACTAATTAGGAACATATATTGCGGTCAATTACCATCAAATTACATTGGATGAAGAAACTAGACATCTTACATCATTCCATGAAAATTGTTTGCTGCACAATCTAATTGTGTACAAAGACTTAAGTATCATTGGGTCGGTCCTGTATTTGATGTTGTTCATCTTAAAAAAAAATAATTAAGATTTTTCTTTAATAACTTGTGCATTAAAATTTGGTTTTAATTACAAGAAAGAAAATTCAATTTTAACTAAAAAAATATAAAATACCCATATGTGTGAAAATTTTGTCTTATCAATGTGGATAATTTCGGTGGTTAGGAAGATGTCACATGGTAGGTTTCACATGTGCCTAGGTCTGCCAATAAGGCTACCTCGTGCCCATTCCCTACAGTCTATTAGTGATGGTCTATGGTTTTCTTCTTCTCATAGTGTACTTGAAAAAAATAAAGAAAAAAAAGGATGGTGGTTGAGTTAGTTGCTTTTTGTTGACTTATTGTTATTTTAAACTAACATGGTATATATTGGTAGGATGAGTTATTATGGGGAGCAGCATGGCTAAGGAGGGCCACGCAGGATGATAATTTCCTCAACTACATTCAAGCCAATGGCAAAACGCTTGGTGCTGATGACAACATCAATGAGTTTGGTTGGGACAACAAGCATGCTGGCCTTAACGTGCTTGTCTCCAAGGTCACCCTCATCTACACCATCACTAAATTTAACCACAAACTTAAAATCATAAAAAATATTGTGATCTAGATTCTGATTTTATAAATTTCTTATAAATATTTATAGGAGAAGAAAATAAGGAGGTAAAGTAAATTAAGTTTCTTTTATAATAAGGAGATTTTTTTTATAAGTTACACGAAATTTCTCTCTAACGAGCATTTATATAGAAAAGACTTAAATATTTTTTAATTTTAAATTTAAAATAAATTTATTTTTAATTTTTTAAATCTAATATTGATCTCTTAGTTATGAAATTTTAAAAAATTTTATTTTAGTCCTTTCTAAGTCAGAAGACTCATAACTACCAGTAACAATTTATAATAATAAATTAAGTTAATTATATAATTTTAATTAAATTTAATGTGATGTTTTTATTAATAAAAACACTATTATATGATTTTTGTATGACAAGTTTAGTAATAAATAAATTTTGTTTGATAGATTTATTAATAATATTTAAATCAAATGACTAGAATGAGATTTTTTCAGATTATAAGACTAAAAATATTAATTTTAAATTTAAAAAAAAACATTAACCTCATAATTGACAAATTAAAAACATATTTTAACCTATAAAAGTTTATCCAAAGGACTAAAACTATATACACATGTTTTACATTTCCACACACTCAAAAGAAAACAAAAATCAATATCAACATGCATCTTATTGATAGCCAATGGATTCATCAATTTTACAGGAAGTCATAGAAGGAAACATGTACTCTCTTGAGTCTTATAAGTCCTCAGCAGAGAGCTTCCTTTGCACACTCATACCTGAATCACCAACCTCACACATACAGTACACCCCTGGTGGACTTGTATACAGACCCGGAGGTAGCAACTTGCAACATGCAACTTCAATCGCATTCCTTGAATTAGTGTATGCCAATTACCTGACACACACTTCACAAGCCATCAATTGTGGCAATGTCTATGTCAGTGCACAAACACTTCGCCAACATGCTAAGAGGCAAGTTGATTACATTTTGGGTGATAACCCAATGGGATTATCCTACATGGTTGGCTATAGCAACTACTATCCTCAACGTATTCATCACCGTGGCTCTTCTTTACCCTCCATCAAGGATCACCCTCAATTCATTGCGTGCAAAGAAGGTTCAATTTACTACAACTCAACCAACCCAAATCCTAATGTACTTGTGGGTGCCATTGTTGGAGGGCCTGATGAAAATGATGATTATGAGGATGATCGAATTGATTTTAGGAAATCCGAGCCAACCACATACATTAACGCACCATTTGTTGGGGTTCTAGCCTATTTTGCTGCTAATCCCAACGTTAGTTGATGTAATAATTACCATTGGATATAGGTTAATTTTGTAAATGTAAAGATATATTTCCAAGATGTTTCTCGTCTTGAGAAAAATCAAGAGGGTAGAGGCTTTCTTGGGATTAGGACCATTAATTAATGAATTTGAATTCACAACAGCCGCTTGTGATTTTTAAATAGAAAGGATGAAGGGAAGTTTTAATTACCTGTTAGTGTTTTATTTTTAATGTTAGCCCCAAACAGAGTTCGAGATTGTAGGATTGTAAGGATTTGTTAACAATATTAAAGTTATTACTGAATAGTAAAGTGTTTATTTTGTTTTCAATTATTAGTTTTTTTTAATAGCATCAAAATTTTATTTAATAATTACAAAATGAGTGATTCCAAATTTGGAATCACATGAAAAAGTAAGTAGAAAGAGAGGAAACATAACAAGAACAATATACTGTAATAGTACTGCATGTACAACAAAGAATTACACAATAATCAATATAACATTACTTTTATATTTATCTTTTTATTATTAATAATATTTCTCTATAATAAATAAAATGATAGAAAAAATAAATAAAAAAATATTATAAATAAATAAATAAATATAT